CCCCACCCCCCCCCCCCCCCCCCCCTCCCCCCTCCCCCCTCCTAAACCCTAAACCCTAAACCCTATATGCACGGGACAAAAAAAAAACATCGGAGGTCGTTGTGTGGGACCCCGTACAGTGGACGTACAGTGTGACCCTCCCCCTAAGGGTCCAAGGACCCAAATAATGGGGTTTGAGGGCCCAAATACCTTTGATATTATGGTATTTGGGCCCTAATACCCTATTATTTGAGTCCTTGGACCCTGAGGGTCCACTTTGAAATTGGGCACAAAAACTCCGGAACCCTAAACCCTAAACCTGTGCTGCTCCTCAAACGTTCGGTCGGTGCTTAAAGGCCCCCAAAATGGCCTATGTTTAGCTCGAGATGAAGGAATGGATCAGAAAATGGAAGCTACCATATTTAGTGGATTATATATGGACTACCATACGGATCCATTCCTGCATCCCTGCTAACCCAAGGCCAGTAAACTCTAAACTCTAAACCCTACACCTCGCGTCTTGTTCAGCATGAGCAGTCTACACACGCAGTCTCCCGCGGCACACTTGTACGGCGCCGCGTGCATGTGAGAACACACTGGGATTTCCGAAGGTAAAGCCTGAAGCGCACCCAAATGGTTCATGTAGCTGTATGATATATACCTAGCTTTTAGTGAGGGCCCCGAGTGTATACTGCGTACCTACATGGAACATTTGGGGCAATGGTGCTCTGTACACTGTACAAGACTCGGGTGTAAGCTGTCCATGGCCCCGAATTCTGTCAGGGGGAGGACGGCCAAGAGATTCACCTCGAACAGGACACTTTCAGCCTGAACGCCTTTACATGGATGTGGCTGACATCTGTACCACGACTGACTTCAGCCCATGCAATTGAAACTGGGAGGAATCGGTTTGTCCAACTCCTGCGCAAGGGTTCAGAGAACACCAACGAGCCCCTTGCTGGCTTAAAACACGATGGAATGGAAATCGTGGTGATTTCCGGGCTGATCTAGGACCCCCGCCACCCACCGAGAAAGCGGGGGTCCTTTTATTGTCAAATTGCTGTTGAGAAATTCTTGGAGAGATTTAAGACACACTGCAGGACCTACTTGCGAGTCTCCTACACCCCAAAAGCCTAAACCCTTAACCAGGATGCATGCTTACACGCAACCAAGACAGCCTGAAGTGAACTGCCACGAAGCACGTGGCACCCACCTGACACAGAGCTGCGACCCTGTAGGGTTTAGGATCGAGGGTTATTCCCTACCATGGACCAAGTCAGAAGTGTGGTGATTCGGAAAGCTACGCGTGCTTTTTGGGGGTTCACGCGAACAAGGATCCTGGCTTCCTGGGGTCATGTCTGGGCACCATAAACACTAAACCTCAAATTGAGTCCAACGCATCCAAACTAGAGTCTACCCTGTACCTCCCATGTAGTTCCTTTTTGGGCAGTATGTCAACCCCCTTACCACAAACCACAGCAAACTCATACAGGAACGACATAACGGCCCCTCTTCATCACATCGGGTGTTCCATGAAGGGGTCCGTTGTGGCGGAGTAATCATGATAAGGATCATAGCCTATTCGGGTCTATACATTGCCAGGTATTTATAACCCCCTATATCAGCTCGAGTTTGGGTCAGTACAAGAGGGAGACGCACCGCGTACTGTCTACCCAATCAGAGCACTGGATTCACAACTGCAAGGCGCTCTGAATGTCATGTGTACTGCCATCATTGCCTAAAACAACATTTATATGGGTGGTTGTCCAAATTATGGTCTCTTTTTGGGTACCCTAAATATTAGGTGCCGTACTATAATAGGGACCCAAAAAGGGACCATAATTTTGACAACCACCCATATAAGGGCGTGTGCCAACATCACTATCCTGATGCTGCGGGTTCCTCAATTTGGATCCGCCATGATCCCCGCAGGATGTCCATATCTCCCTAGGGACCAATGGCTCTTCCAGCTTTTCAACCAAGAAAAGACGTGGATGTTTCTGAACAAAGTTCCCTAAGTAGGGGAACCCACTATAGACACCATAATTTCGTAAATCTTCTTCAGGGGTTACAAGGACCCCGCAAGAAGGTACCCCTAAGCCATGCACCCTATCCGCAAGATGACCGCTATTGCAACAGAAAAGAAGGTTCCTCCCACATACCTCGAGATATGGCTCCCAACACAGGGCCCGCGAATGGTTTGGAAGCCAAACCCCATATTCTGGGTTGCTGTTAAGAAACATAAACTAAGTTCCTATACTAGCAAAACCCTATTAATACTATACATCCACTTAACTTAAGTTCCTTGACAGCCCCAAGCCATTCGCTATCCTAAGCAGTGAGCCCCATGAATCGTGTCATAGCTTGCTTAGGTCCGTCCTACGGATTTCTTCAGGGGATCCGTCTTCAAAGCGTTTAGGGGTTTTGTGGATGTAGGGAGTGTAGTTCCAGCCAGATGCACACATGCAACGTTTATGAAGAGCTCATGCAAACTTTACTCGGTTGATATGACTGCATCCGAAAGCCCTGAAGCCTGTAAACCCTAAACCGTATGAACCCTACACCATATTAACCCTAAAACCTATTTGCCTTACACCGTATAAACCCGAAACCCTGTACACCCCAAATCCAAATATTCAACCTTCAAGAACCTACCCTAGACACCATATCTTGGGAGGACCCCCCACCCTGGAATAGTGGTTTAATAAGAATATAAGAGGACCCTAATAAATCCCCATTATCCCTTATAGTCATTATTACTGGGTGGGGGGTCCACCTAACCTAGACACCATATCTTAAACCCAAAGACGCATGTCCTTGTTTTACTAGTTTCAGGTTGAGGGTGTAGAGTTTAAGGCTTAGGGCTAGGCAGCACAGTATTCTTGTAGACCATACCCCCCCAACCAAAACAAGGACCGCACACTGGTCTTCCAAATGGGAGTTTCTCCACAACGCCACTATAGGGTCCTATTTGGGGACGCCCCATTGTATCCCCTATCCCCATATCTCCCACACGTCCCCCAAAGCCGCATTTGTTGAGCCCTCAACCCTAAACCCTACACCCTAAAGACCCATATGCTCAGACTTATGGAGCGATCATCTTGCCCGTTTGTTCCAAGTCACTCGCACCAACTGGCACCTAGGCCGGGGAGTAGGGGTGGGTTTTGGGTTTTGGGCTTTGGGTTTAGGGATAAGGGGTGGGTTTTGGGTTAAGGTTTAGCGTTCAGGGTTTAGGCATTCGGGGTGGGTTTTGGGCTTCAGGGCCTAGGGCTTTGGGTTTTGGGCCTGCCGGCTCCTTCCGCTAGCGCACACTGCACACGTAAGCCCTAAATAAGCCGTAAATTCAAAACTCTAAATTGTCTATAACATGCATGCAAACGGGATGACCTTCAGCAGTAGGCAGAGAGTCCGGTTGATGTTCCGGACGGTCAGCAGCATACAAACTTTGTAGGTCCAACGTGGAGAGGCGCTGGGTTAGGTGCGTAGTGACCTTTCTCTGAAATGAAGGAAGCACCTCGATGCATTCCCTCAAACTCTCTTCTGGCGAAGGGCTGGGGCGAACTTGACTGGATGCTTGTGCGTGGACATACAAAGGCCCCCTTTGGATTGAGGAGACCTTGCAGCACCTTGTTCTTTAGAAGCCAGTGCAGGTGGGTAATTGCCATCGTCTAAACTCCGAATATCCCCCTTAAACCCTATAGTAGTCCCACCTATAAGTCCCTATATAACCCCCCTTAAGGAGTCTAGACCCTAAACCCTAAACCCCATATAACCCCCTTTAAAGGAGTTTAGACTATAGTACGTGTGAGGGTTGCTTGAAATGGGACGCCTTTGGGGACTCCAGGGATACATAGGGATGACGTAGGGTTGAGGATTTAGGGTTTAGAATTTGGGATTTAGGGTTTAGGGCTTAGAATTTAGGATTTAGGGTTTAGAACTAGGATTTAGGGCTTAGGGTTTAGAATTTAGGATTTAGGGCTTAGGGTTTAGAAATTAGGATTTAGGGCTTAGGGTTTCGAAATTCGGATTTAGGGTCTAGGGTTTAGGCTTTAGGATTTAGGGTTTAGAACTCAGGATTTAAGATTTATGGTTTAGAAATTAGGATTCAGGGTTTAAGATTTAGGATTTAGGGTTTAGAATTTAGGATTTAGTGTTTAGAATTTAGGTGATCTCTGGGGCTAAGGATGTAAGTCTTTGCAAGATCTTATTGAAAGGCATTTCTGGTGGTTGAGTTTTGGGGGTCCGTAGGGAATATAGGCAAGTCATAGCATCTATCGTAGTCACCTGTGATTGCAACAGCAGCCCCAAGCATCATGATCCCCTCTTTCCAGGTTGATTAAGCTGCAAGTCCAGACACATCCCAATCCAGCTGGCACGTAGTCCGCCGCACCAGCAGTGCAGCCCTTGCAACCTGAACAGCTTCTCGACTTACGATTTAGGTGTTGGGAATAGGGTGAAACATCTGTTGAAGGCTTGGATCCCAGTAGGATATGATCAATTTGTAATGCAAACCTCTGCTAACCAGAAATGAGCTGCGCCATTGCTGGTGTGTTGCAGAGACGCCAATCCCATTGAGGGAGACAGGGGCTAGGCAAGTCAGGATGTCTTAGATGTTAGGGTGTCTGACTAAATCAGAGTGATTTCTTGCATGGCGCAGAGAGCACGTGAAAAAAGGGTCGGCCCTATCGGCACCTATCAGATATGCGCGGCTTGGGGGGTATCGGTTGAAGGTTGGCGCCTATCAGTTTCTCGCCAAATATGCTCTGTATCACAGGCTCCCGGACCACATGGAAATCCTACGATCTGTCTCAGAGGAGTTCAGGGGGAGAGGCCCTAAGCTCTAAACTCTAAAGTTGGAAAAAAGCTTGAACGTGCTCTGAATGATGCAGTTTAGACTGCCTTACATGTTCGTAGTGAGGAATGGGAAGTGCATGGAAGAAGGAAGCAATGCCAAAGAACGTAGGGAAAGGACTGTAGGCGAATATGTACCTACATGTTAGCTGCTTTTGGGATCCATTCCTCCATTCCCTACAGAAGACCGGTAAGTCACACCCTGGCAGACCACAAGCACGAAATCGATCGGTTGACGAGATACTTGTTGGGGCATTTGGGCCATCTAATTTCGCAGCTTATCATCCATCGATCGGTTGACTACGTTGATGTTTGGGCTTCTTGCTTTAAGGCTTAGAAACATGCATACTCCCCATACGGGCTTAAATCGCAGGGAATGGGATTATGGGCGAGAAGGTTCATAAACTGGGCTGCTCTAAAATAATTGTAACGAGTCACTAGTCACCATAAAAACACGTGATGTAATATACTTGAACTCACATTCTGGTACATAATTCTTGGAGGGTCAGCAGGGTCAGGGGGACTTAGTACCTGAGTTTCTGGCTCCTACAAGCCATACATCTACCGCAGATATATCCATGATGGACCTACTTACAAAGTCTCCCCGCCCCTCCAAGTAAGTCCTCAACCACTACATCACCCTGGTTTCCATGTCATTTTCCATCTGATTCTCCACGATTGGGGTAACATATACCCTATGAAACCCTAAACCCGAAACCTACAAGCGCACAAACAACAGCAACCCAGTAAATCCATCAAACCCGAAACCCTAAGTTACCCTAAACCATAGATCCTAATCCATTGTGCTGCATACACGGAACCCACGTCGGAGGCACCCCCAGGCTCAAGGTTTAGGATTTAGGGTTCAGGGCCTGGGCTTAGTCTGAGGTTCAGGGTTTAGGGCAAAGGGTCTAGGGCTTAGGGCTTCGAGTGTAGAGCCTAGAATTTACGTTTAAGCGTTTAGGTTTTAGGATTTGCCTTTGTTGATTGACGGAAACTGGCATGACCCAATATACCTAGACCCTAGGAATTATGGTACATGTGCCAGGAGTCATGTAACATGTTGCCCACCAAGGGAATGGTGCAGCCCATTCTGCAGTTAAGACTCTTTCATACAGCCCTTTCTGCACTCAAGACATTTCACAACAAAGCAGAAACCTAAAAAATTAAGTTGAGACAGGGCTGTCCACAACTCAAAGCCTTTAGGCCATAGCCCACATTGTATGGTGGTGTTCAAGCGCGCAGGGGCCGATGTTGGACAACACCCATGCGCGTTCAACTTCGAAGGAGGTTGGCAACCCCTGTAGCCTGGACCCTACAGGCTGAACCCTAAACCCTAAACCCTCGACCCTCAACCTATAAACTCTAAAGCCTAAACCCTCAATCCTACAGCCGGATCCCTTTATAAACCCCAAACCCCAGGGTTTTTCCAAAGGCTAGGGACCCTTCAAGATTTCGCTGCGCCACTTAGTGGCCCTTTGCTCCGCCAGTACCGAAAAATTGCAAACAAGTGACCGGGCTAGTGGACCGAAATAGAACGTTTAGGGTTTCGGGTTTAGGTTTATAGAGCCATAGTCTAAACTCCTAGTATCGCCCTTTATATCCCCTACAGTAGTCCCCTATATAATCCCCTATACAATACCCCTTTATGGAGTTTAGACCATGGCTCATATAGGGTCCAGATGGACTGTACTCTTTCGGGTTGAGGGTTTGGGATTTAGGGTTAAAGTGTGTATGGTTTATGAGCTTTGCGTTTATGGGTTTAGGCTCCAAGTCCTCATGTGTCGAATTCAAAATCCAGCCAGCCTCCATGCCTGGCAATATTCCAAGTCTCTGGCGTGGCGCTGGTCAATGTGCCAGAGCAATACTACCCGAAAAGGCCAGGCAAGCTTCAATATGTAGCTCAGTTGATTGTATTTCCGCCACCTTTACTTCTGCTCTTCGCCGTGCGGGCCCACAACCTTCCTCATGCTTCCTCTTCGATTTGACGACCTCTTACTGGAATTACGTATGGCTTGCGGGCGAATACCGGTACTGAACACATGAAGTTACTGTGAAGCAGGTGTATGAAGCCAGCGGTAAGCCCCTACACCTTAAACCCTGAACCCTAAACCCCAAGCACCAGACCCGTGCCCTAAACCCCTAAACCCCTAAACCCCAAACCCCCAAACCCTTAAACCCTTAACCCCCTAAACCCTAACCAGTAAACCCCTAATCCCCTAAGCCCTCAACCGCAGGGCTTATGGCAAGCAGCCTGGTGCAAACTGCCAGGAGGGGCCAGGAACCCACTGACACCTGGGTAGCGTTTTAGGGTTTAGGGTTTAGGGTGCAAATAAAAGGGTGTTAGGGCCCAAATACTATAATACTAATGGTATTTGGGCCCTAAAGCCCCATTATCTGGGTCCTTGGACCCTTAGGGAGATTATATTCCTTATATAAATTACTATACCCCAAAAGGAGGATATAATCTTACTCTATATTGGGTACCATAGTATCCCCCAAATTAAGTACTACTCACCTGGCCAACAGTCAAGGGCATGAAGGACTGGGCTATTTGGAGCTAGTAAAGGTTTCGGGTAGAGTTACTTTGTTTAGGTTTAAGGTTTAGGGATTAGGGTTTATAGGGTTTAGGGTTTGTCATGTTTAGGGTTTAGGGTAAAACTTGGGGCAGCACCTTAGAGAACCAATCCCTTCATTCCCTACTATCCTGAAGCCATGCGCGCTTCTGGGATCAGCGCATGAGAGTTACGCGCAAGAATTCATCGACTTCCCATTGCGCTCCGGAGCAAATAGCAGACAGACAGGTAGAGAAACCGAGGCTTGCTGAAGTAGCGTTCGCAGTTTAGTTTAAAATGAACCGCTCCTGACCCTTGCCAAAGCTGTCTGTGAATTTCGAAGCTTGTGTCCTACAAAGCGAACACAACGATTCCTCTTTCGTTTTAGACCGTCGCCGAAAATTCTAAGGACTGTCGAGGCTTTTAAAACTATTATTGCTAGCCTGTATCTCCATTGCTATTATTGCGCCTGCTACTATTGTTATAATTACCACCCTAAATCCCCTAAGCCCTAAACCCTAAACTACTACTATAGCACTTTGTCAGCAAGGCATAAGCACCCTGTTTGCAGCTACTTCTTTGGCAACGTAGAGGCCTGAATGATTCCGACTATCCTTTTTAGGTCTGTTTGAGGTACCCTATATAAGCTTTAGGGTTTAGGGCTTGGTGTATGCAAAGAATCTAGGACCAGAAACTAGCGTCTCTAGGTGTTAAAGCTCGAGCGCAAGCATTGTGGCGTGAGGCTTCTGGATTCGGGCAGATACGTTGGACGGTGCTGCAGAAGACTGTAGGAATTGATCTTTTTGGCACACCTAGGATCAAAGCACCTGTCTCAAGGGGAACCTTTAGGAAGATACAAGGGAATGCCTAATTAGGTAATCCATAAAACTAGCCGAAAGCCACAAACTCAAGGTCTGCAACCCACTTGGAGAGTCAGCGGATTTAGTTAGTAGGTTGATAGTGGGCAGAGCGCGGGTTGTTACATGGCTTATAGTGCTTGTTAACTTAAGTTTCCCTGACCCTCCAAGCATTGCCAAAAGCCCTGACCCCATAACTCTACGCAATAGCTCCCCACACCTCTACAACGTAGAACCTAAGCCCTCGCACACGTAAATGGCACACCCTCAACCTTCTCCAATGTTCTTACCATTGTCCTGGACCTGCACGATTCCTTTAGAATGCCCGTGTACACCTGGGGTCCTAAGAGTGAGTTTTTGAACCCTCGGTATAAACGTCGACATCGCCCAAGACCGGTCTGCGCTAAGACTAGTCTGCACCGTGCGATCTACTGCAATCTCGTGCGACTTCACGCAACAAAAGCTGCTCTTGCGTGCGCTCTTGCACGTTCCCATGCACTCTTATGCAATCCCGTGCGCACAACCTGCCCAGACTGGATTAGCCAGACCACGCTATTTGCTTGCCTGGATAGGCAAAGCAGAACAGAAACAAACAGAACCCAGGAACCTACATCCATGCACACTGGTGTGTAAAAGATGCACATATGTATGTGAGAAGGCAAATATGGCCCCTACTTTGGGGGTTGGGGCAAGCATATGACACCTTTTTTTTTTAATCACCCAAAAAGGGCCATTATCTGAGACAACCCTCCTTTCAGTGACTATTATCTCTCTCTCTCTCTCTCTCTTTCTTTCTTTCGTTTGGGCTATGGAGCGATCAGAGATCGCCCCGGGCTTCTCTGCCCAGCCCCTGTAGGGCTGCCAAGTCGGTGTAACCCCTCGTCGCTTCACATGTGGTCAATATGGATGGGCAAAAGCTTTGGGTTAGCATAGAAGAATGACCCATGTGAAGACTGAGCATGGTTGGTGTCACCATGCCTTTGCCACACCATTGCTGTAGTTGGGGACCCATATCGTTACCTGAGATGATGTTGGCAGTGGCGTTGGCAATGAGAAGTGTTGAGGAGGTGAAAACTGTATTGGAAAGGAGCAAGTTGAGGGTGTGATGTTACTATTGAAGGCATGTAGGTTTTACCAATCCCTCTCTCTCTCTCTCTCTCTCTCTCTCTCCCCCAAACCCTAAACCCTAAATCTCTCTCTCTCTATGTATTATATATATGTATATGTATACATATGTTGCATAGATACCGAAACTCCGTGTACATCCGGACTAGGCACCAGCCCTGGCAGTCGGGACGGTAGCCATCAACCGGTCGGCCGTAGCCTGGACTCAAAGGGTATCTAGGGATCAGGATTCAGGGTTTTAGGGTTTAGGGGTTAAGGCTTATTATTCAGGGTTCTGGGTGGAGAGTTTGCGGATTTTGAGGAACCCTAAACCCTGGACCTTACACCCTCAAGCTTTCATGTATAGGGTTTGCGGTTTAGAGTCCGGGGCTCACGGTTTAGGGGGGCCATGCTTTAGTCCCCGCTGTTCAACCTGAAACCCTCCAAAGAGAGCGGCTGTGCAACCCATAACTGACCAATAACTTAGGTTGGGCCCCAACCCACTAATAGTGACCATAAGAGATAGTGGTAATTGCATGTTAGGGCCTCTATAAATTTTCTAATATACCACTATTCGTGGGCGGGGCCGTAGCCGAACCCGTAACATGCACAACTGCAACTGCAAACCCTGAAGCCGAAGCTGTCCTCAAAAGCCTACCTGGACCCCCCCAAAAATCATGCAGCATCATGATAGCCTCCTTCATTTGTTTGTTGTTTTTGAGGCTGGGGGCCCCTGTCTTGCCAACTTCATGGGATCTGGTACGCTCTCATCCCCAGTTTCAAGTCAACTGCGAATTCCTCCATCACTCTGCAGCTCCAGAAGGCTTTCAGGAGGTTTGCTAACTTTCCCGAGGTCTCCCAGTTACCTAAATAGTAGGTTACTGGGCTATGTAACTAAAGGGTATATGGAACCCAGAACCCATTATTTATGTAAGCGGCGTCCTCGGCTTTTATAGATTTAAGATTCAGGCTGTAAAGATGGCAATTTGGACTAGGGTTTAGGGTTTAGGGTTTAGGGTTAAGCCTTTAGGCTGGGAGCTTCAAACTTCAGACTAAGAATTTCGAGTTTAAGATCTACTGAGCCTCGAGGCATGGCCGCGTTTCTAGGCAACGAAGGGCCCACCTCTAAGGTATGTTGGGCTGTCGAAATTGGGGAAGGTTTCCAAAATTAGGGGTACCTTTTTGAGGGTCCCTATAACAAGGGGTCTATACTAGGGTCCTGTTATTTTGGAAGCGCTCTCATGGAGTTCAGGACGGAAGTTTTTACGCTCAGCAGTAGGGACGAATGGATAGAGGCCGAGGGTTTGTGGTTTAGGATCACCTGTTCCCTAGGTACGCTTACATCGTCTAGGCAAGCCGGCGTCATACTTCAGCCCATTACACCCTACACCCTGGATCCCTGAGCTCTAAACCCACAATCCCTACTTGGATTGTCACCGGGACATAGTGAGTCAGTTCATAAAGGGGATAGCTGGAGTTATCACGCGGCGTGTAAGGTTATTAGTCTGCTTCCTAAATCCCCGTGACCCTCCAAATGACACCCCCCGCTCCTGAAGCCCCAAGATAAAGCTCTGTCGGCAAGAGGCCATCCTTGTAACCAGCACATGGCAGGACCTTTGGCAAACTTGCCCACGGCACGTAGGCGCACCAGGCAGGATACCTGAGGGTTGCGTGTTTAGCGATGAGGGGTTAAAGCGCAGGAACCCCTGAATAAAAGTCCCAGGATGTGAGGGGTGTATGATCCTAGTACCAACAAATTCCTGCAACTACGACTGGCCGTAGATACCAAAACTCTCTTTTGAATATTAGGAGAATGTTGGTGTGCATCTCAGTCTCACCTGGACCATAAAAATTCGTAGAATAATGGCCCCTGTTGACCAGTTGTAGGAGTTTGCGGTCATCATGTTATCTACTTTGAGCTCTGCGTAAGGATTACGCTTTGACTGTTTGGAGGAATCTCCAAAACCCTAAACCCTACACTCTAAGCTCCACTTTGCGCTTGGGAGTCTGCGCGGCTAAGGGAATGCTGGGGGACACGGGGACTTAATTCAGGTGGAGCATTCAGAACGCTTTAATCATTACCTATATAACCCCCTATCAGGTGTAGAATACAAGGAGTCTGGCTCTTTTTTGTGTCCATTAAGTTACGTACTGTTGGAGTTCAGGTATGGGTCCCTTCAATGCTGGTCCTTGCGATAAGGACTGGTTCGGGCCGATACATGTGCAAAGGTGATTTTGCAACATTGCCACAGTACAAAGCCCTGCACCCTAAACCTTAAAACGTGGAAAGCCCAAAGTTCTATCCCTCCCAATGGAGATCACTGTAACACCCCTTGAGCCAGAGTCTAAACTCCCAGAATCCCGGTTAAGGGTTTGGGGTTTGCGCAGTATCCCCCTGAATAACCTCTATAGTAGTCCCCTATATAATCCGAGGCCTCCGAATATGACAGACACCCTAACGCAACCCTTGGAAGAGAATTGTACGGGAACCCGCCGGGTTCTAAGAGGCCCACCCTAAACCCTGAACCCAAAGACCGCAACCCCTGAACCCTGTTATCTGGGGGCCCCGGAAGCTACCTGATTTGAGGACGGAGGGGGCAGTTGCTGTTTGCTATCAGGGTTGCACCGCCGGTGCCGCCTGCTTGACCTGGATGGCACGCTTCAGAGGAAGCATTTCACGGGGTTGCGGTTGAGGAACTTAATCTAAGTTATCATAAGGGGTATAGAGTTTAGGGTTTAGCACACAATATACTAGCCTAAACCCTGAACACTTTGGAGAACACATGGGTTATCTTCAAACTATGGGTCCCTGTTGGTTATAGATTATATCATGGCGCCTAATACCTAATTTTGCAAAAGAGCTACCCATTTCAATCTTCAAGGGGGTCTGCTGTTGAGGGGTAGGTGACCTGGGAATCCCCAGTACTTCAAGGAGTAGGGATGAAGGTTTCAGGCTTCGGGGGCTGGCACAAAAGTAGGTCTTTGGGACTCGGAAGGGTTTGGCGTCCTTGAAAAACTGGATTCTAGGTCCCTAGCACAATTCATTTTCTTTCTGGCCGGACCTCCGCCTCACTGTTTCAGGACAGTTGTGGGGTTACGAAAGCCACGCGTACCACAGGGAACAGAGGGCACGATCTGAATGATTGCAGACACAAAGAACGGCTTGTGTTTTCAAAGGAAAAAACAAATCCCGAACGATCTACATGACTCAGACAGCTGACAGAGGGAGGCTGATGCGTATGGAAGAAACGTAACCCACCTCGCCACACAGGGGAGGGGAGGTCTGAATGATCTCAGCAAAAAAGGGTTTAGGGTTTAGGGCTGATGCTGCAAGAGGACATTTGCTAGCTGGAATGCCGGCGACTGTGGGACCAAATGCCGGCAACTAACCTATGTGGGGGAAGGAGGGGGGGGTTGTGCAGCCCTAGATCAAATACCCTTAGGGTCGCCCAGAGGCTGTTCTCAACACCTTCGAAAGGATTGAAAAGCAGCGGCCTGATTCATTAGCTAAACAGGGATCCCAGGACGTGCCTCTCTGAATGGATTACCCTGCGGGCTCTCTCAGTAGGGGTACCCTTATGATTTGCAAGCGGGCCGCTCGCGGAACATGTAGGGATGATTTGAGGAACTCGCATATGTCAGCTTTGTAGCACAATTAGCACAATAACCATGAGGCTCCAAATAGCCCGATGTAGGGAATATCGATAGAGTCTGGGGCGTGCATGTAGGCCTTATTCAAAGACTTAGAGCACTAGAGTAAACCTCCTAACCTCGTAAAGCAAGCATATAATCCAAGTTGCCACTTCATATTTGTCTTTTCCATTTGATTCTTCATTCTTGGGGAATTATCCGTACATATCCCTACATATCCCTACATGCCACCTATCTTTAAACCCTAAACCCTCAACCCTATGCTATAATATCCCTCCATAACGCCTGCATGAATTATCAATCCTAAGCCACCCTATAAATCCTAAACCCTGAACCCTAATGAGCCACTAAGAAGAGAAACTCCAAGGGTAAGCTTCCCCCAGAGCCAGGCTATAGGATCCATGAGCAAAACTGTGAAACCTGCATTTGGGGTTTAGGGTTTAGGGTTCCGTTTTTTCTGAGACCCTTTTCCGACCGCACAAGTAAGGTTCCGGGTTTAGGCTTCAGGGTTTAAGCTTCAGGCTTTTTTTCTGGGAGCCTTTTCCAGCCGCACGAGCAAGGTCCAGGGTTTAGGGCTTAGGATCCTGAATTCGACGCTTTGAACCTTTACCTCCAACCTCTAAAGGCGTGAGCCAAACACCGTAGACCCCCAAACCCCTAACCCTCAAAAGCATTACCATATGAGCTAGAGTCTAAACTCCTTAAAGGAGGTTATATAGGGATTATATAGGGGACTACTATAAGGGCTATTAAGGGGATACTAGGAGTTTAGATTCTGGCTCATATCACCCCTACACACCCACTATAGCCTCTTACAAGGTACCCCTCCTGTCTTCGCCCAAACCCCCTATATCCCTCAGCCCTACACACCCACTATGGCCCTTGACAGGCTACGTCTTCTGTCTTCCCCCAAACAACCCTGTATCCCTTGTAGGCAGCTAGGCGTCTAATGACTCCTTAAATCCCTAAATCCCTAAACCCTAAATCCCTAAATCCCTAAATCCTAAATCCCTAAATCCCTAAACCCTAAATCCCTAAACCCTGACTCCTAAATCCCTAACCTAAATCCCCAAACCTTGAACCCTAAGCTGCCCACCTTCAGGCCCGTGCTAGAAGTTCCCGGGCTGGCCACCTGTGGAATGGAAGGGCTTACCCCAAACTTTCTAGGGTTTAGGTTTTAGGTTTCAAGGTTTAGGGTTTAGGTTTTAGGATTTAGGATTCAGGTTCTATAGAGTTGTTCATAGGGATCTTTAGGGTTTTGTGGTTCCTTTATCGGTTTGTTCTGGGGGCCACTAACTATCCAAACAATGAACCACCAGGATGTTCTGGCTAGGGAGTTGCGGCACTTGAGCCCCTAAACTTAGGCAGTGCGGGATTTCTTGCATCAACTAGACCTCCTTCCACATAAACGGGGGTAGGGCAGTATATGGGTAGTTCCAAGAATCAGGGTCTCGTTTTGGTGCCACAAAATTTTGGGTGCTGGAATATAATTTATAATTAGCCAAAATCGGGCCATAGTTTTGAGAATAGCCCATATGGGAGGGGGGGGGTAGTAGGGGAACCCATGATGCTTGCAAGGTCTGCCAGGTCAGGCTGGACTTCTTGCACCTTCGGTATGACTGAGAGTGATGGAAGTTTTGATTTTTTGGGTTTAGGGGTTTGGGGTTTAGAATTTAGGGGTTTCAGGGCCTAGGGGTTTAGGTCGTGGGGTTTAGGGGCAAGTGGTGTATTGATTTAGGGTGTGGCCGCAAGAAACAAGATCTTTGTCAAAGGCCCTGCAGCAGAATGTCTCCGTCGGAAGAGTCAGGCTTCATGATCTGTTGCGGCTGGTTGGTATATCGTATATCTAACTTGCATGACTTTAGGGTTTAGGGTTTAGGGTTTAGGGTTTAGGGGTAGGATACCCATTAACCTGGGCATAAACAGAAGGTTCTTTGTTGGTGTATCCTAATTGTGCAAGGCACCTAGGAACCCGAAAGGAAAAAAGGAGCCGATTTGACATTGCCTCACGGCACCAGTTGTTTGACATTCCCCCAAACTGAGCTGCTGCTATGAGGAATTTCTAAAGGATGATAGCAGGGGGTTTAGGGCTAAAGGTTACAGGAATAGGGGTATATAGTAACTGAGAAGGGATGCCCCATCATGGTGGCTTAGCTGAAGTTCCCCAACAGCAGCCCAACAAACACCGAACCCATACCACCATAGGCCCTAAAACCTGAAATCCAAACCCAAATCTAAAGAGGTTCCTGTCCAGTAGTGGCCGACCCAGAACTGCCCGCTTGGTTATTATAGCTAACTTGGTATGATAAACGACATCTCGCCAGACCGAAGCACTCCTTAAAAAATAGGGGGTTAACAAATATGAGGGGAGACATAGCATCATAAACGGTTCAGGGTGGATATAAGCAGTTTAGGATCAAGATTTTTTACTGCAGGGATAGAGGGGTGAGAATAACATGCGGAAGCTATCTTCGTCAAACCTGACCGTAAAAGGAGTATGCCCAAGGACGGTTGCACCTGCCTGGCAGCCACAGCATGCTGTATTCAGTGTCATGGGTTTTGCTGACGAGCCCCGAAACCCTAAACCCTACAAGTCTTGTAGCACCACCCACCATGAACAAAACGCCAATGCAAGCCCTGTGAATCTTCACACTTAGCTAGTTGGAAACATTCTAAACCATGGTAATGTAGAATAGTGTCATGTCCCAATCTAAGGCCATGTTGGTAGTACTCCCTATATAGACCACCATTTAGGGTGAGGTCGGGTGAGGTCGCTTTCAATTGCCCAGCTAACCCCTATACCTGGCATGTGCCGGTTCTGATCCTGAGATACTAGCAATATCCACCGCCAAGCCTCTCCTGTTGAAATTGTGCAGGCTCTTGCGACAGCTGATTTGAAACCGGAATGCTGCTTATCTGTGTATGTAAATATTAGTTTGATACTCATAGTATGTGTGTCTATGTGTCTACATAGCGGCGTATGCCGCTATATATATACATATATATATATACACATATAAGCATGTACATATGGCAAATATGTATGCCCTTAGATGCACCCTCTGCCTCGGAGGAGATCTTTGCCATCTCGCATCTCTGGCACACCGTGATGTTATGCCACACAGGCTGCGGCACCCAGGGGCACCATACCTTGAAAGCTGTTGACTGCAACCCCTAAATGAGAAATACTAAAAGAGGCCTGGGATTTCGTGCTTGAAGTTTCGCGCTTGGGGTTCGGGGCTTGGACTTTAGGGCTTGGAGTTTAGGGCTTGGAGCTCAGGCTTAGCAAGCCCAATGCCGCAGAGTTGAGATATATACCTGGAACGGTGATGTTACAGTAGGACCTTGTTGTATGAATTCCAGATATTCCTGCTGAAGTGGGTTTAGACTCTCTCTTCAGAATCGGGCGTGACAATTTGAACGCATGTCGGAGGGGGGGTGGGCACAGGATCAGGACTCATGAGAAAAGCGGAACGGTGGTATCATGGCAGTTCTCAACCAGCAGCCACCTCGTCAAGGGGGCAGGAAATTGGGATAATCTACTTGGAGGGTCAGGGGGACTTAGTAGGTTAATGACCCCTATAACCCATGTAGTAACCCTAGTTATCCCCATTATTAACCCACTTACTAAGTCCCCGTGACCCCCCAAGTAGATTAGGGTTTAGGGTCACAGGGGAGGCTGGGATAATAGTGCATCAGGGCTGCCAGGGGGTTGCGGGTAAAGCTCGGGGCAAGAGATTCTATAGGTGTACCCTAGGGCTCCAGTTACCTGAATAGTAGGTTACTGGGCTATGTCCCTAAACCCTAAACCCTAAACCTGTTCCCATTATGTAGGTAACTGGAGCCCTAGGGTGTAGCGAGGAGACCATCTGTCGTCTCGTTTCGGAATATAGCTATGCAGGATCCATCTACCCCCATACAATCCCCTGCCCACCCTCCGAAGAAACAAAGAGGGCAAATTTGGGGGTTCGGGGCGCCTACAGTGCCGCATGCTATGCCCACAAAGCGCAGAAACCAAGAGCCGCAGGTGCACCGGAAGGGGCAGCTTCGAGACCTCAACAAAACCTACCCCTAAACTCAAAAGTGTGCGAAGTAAAGGAAGCACTGTCCTACTGTTGAAGTTCAGCATCCTGCATGACCTTGGTATACTCTCCCACCAGAATTCCCAGAGTATAAGGTACTTAGGAAAACCCTAAACCCTCAACCTAATCCCTAAACCTATAGTAGTCCCATATATAACCCCCTATATAAACCCCAGGAACATGCAGGATTTCTAGTATCCACCGTATGTTTGAAGTTGGCAAACCCGCCGGAATGCCTAAAGCAAAAGCGCAGGAAACGTGTCGGCCGAACCTAAATATCTTGAGTAGGTCCTGGGTGTATTATGTAGGGTTTAGAGTTTAGGGTTTGCGATTTAAGGTGTGTGTTGCTCCTGGCCATTTACGCAGGCTTCCATGGAACCATCCCATAGCCCTGAAGTCTCAGCCACAAATCAACCCTTCTCCCGGCAACCATGGACCTGGATTTGTACTTTACTTACTGGGGTGTAGTATGGAATAAAGGAATATATTATACAGGGATTCTATAGGGATTGTATTCCCTTATTTGTCCTACTAAGTACCGGTAAGTTTAGGGGCCTAAATACATACCAATCCCATGTTAGGGTCTACTTAACGTATCCTACACTATCCTTTTTCTAATCCAGGTCCATTATGTTGGCAATCATCTAGGCTCAACCCTGACCCCAACACCCTAATTTATTCAGGCGTGTACAACATAAAGATTTACGTTGCTGTTTCTGGTCCTCTCAACGGTTTAGTTTAGGGTTATAGTCCCCCTTAAGTAGATAGAATATGGCTTTGGGTATACCATAATAAGATCCCATATACCCCATATTTCTATCTACTTAAGGGGGACTATAAGGGTCTAGGGTTAGGGTAGGCAAGCAACCCAACCCTTCAACAGTAAGGCCCTTGCTGCGAAGAATCCCAGAAGGATGCCGGTTTAGGGTTTAGGGGTTTATGGTTTTAGGGTTTAGGGTTTAAGGTTTAGGGTTTGGGGATTTTAGGGTTTAGGGCCCCCTTACCTGAACCCTATGCTCTCAAGTTTTGTGGTGTGTATAAATATATATACACATATATGTACTCCTCATTTACGGGGACCGTAGGGTCCAGGCATATACCAACCCCCCTAAAGCCAAAACGGAAAACCATATCATACCCAAAGTTGATATACTTGGAGAGTCAGGGGGATAAATAAGTACAGAGATAATAAACACCTAAAAGGCCCCAAATATCGCCAGTTTTACATATTATAGGCCTACTTTACAAAGTCAACCTGACCCCAAACCCTAACACTCTACAACCCTCAACCCTGATTGCTATACTAGTTTCCATGCTCTTCTCCATTCCTACCTACGTCCCCGTGACCCTCCAATGAGGAACCTGGAAGCTCAGATTTTTTTGCAACCAGTCCAAGCGTTTTGGGTTTAGGCTTGTGGGTTTAGGGTTTAGAGTTTAGGGTTTATAGAGTTTAGGGTTTAGAGTTTATGGTTCAGGGGGCTTAGGGATTCCAAAACCCCGGGGACACGAAACATGCTGTTCCAAGCGTGCAGGGTTTATGGTTTAAGGGTTAGGGTTCAGGGGTTAAGGTTAGGGGTGTAGAAACCATTCCTACTTGAGGTCTAAACTTCATGCACAGTACCTACTCTGGCCTATCTAGAAGCTTATAGAAATAACTCTGGCCGAAACTTTGACCTTTGTCAGTTAGGGTGTAGGGGTCTCCCTTAGCCCAGAGAGAACAGGGAACGCAGGGAACGCACGGAACGCATGGTCATTGTCGTGTCCAAACACCGTCCACCGAAAGAATCATGACAAGCTTTCAGAGCAGTACCTACAAGAATTCGGGGAGTATTCGTTTTTGGCACGTGAAGGCAGGGGTTCAGTCCAAATCCTACCGTACACCTGAAGCCCTGTACCTTGGGATTACTTGCTGACCGGTCGCTCCGCATCCCGCCGACAGTGGGTCAGCCACTTTGACAGTACTGTTGCACTCGCTGACATACTGCCTTGGTACGGTGAATGAACAAAGTCCTGCATGACTCGAGATGATCCGAGGTACCTAAAAACTTGGAAATATGGTGCTATATCATACGTAGTGTCATGCGGAAGTTGGTCCATCAACGGTATGGCAACAATTTGACCACGAAAAGAATGCTCTTCGAGATCTACGCCTAGATATATAGTCCCCCTTAGGTATATACATAGAATACCGGGTATACGGGGATCTTACTATAATACACCGAAAGCCATATTCTATCTACTTAAGGGGGACTACATAGTTTGATTGGGGGGGCTCTGGAGTTGGGTTAAACTATATCCATTTAGTAAGCCCATTACAACCTTATTGAAGCCCTTTACAAAAAAGGGTTTAGGGTTTAGGGTTTAGGGTTTACAAAAAAGGGTGTTCTATTCCATTTGGTAACCCGAGGGTCCCACAAAGCAACACCTGCCTGAGCTTTTGATGTTTCAGCGCTGCTTAGGGTTCCAATATTGACTGTGTGGCACTTAGGACCCCTACAAAGGGTTAACCCTTAGCTACCTATAATACGGTGGATACTAGAAATCCTGCATGACCCAAAGTACCTCTTTTCTTGGGAATAATGGGACTATAGTATATAAAGTTCATGAAGGATTTCTAGTATCAACAGTAGGAGCATAAGGGAATCCGAAAGGGTTAAGGGTCTAAGGGCCAAGCGAAGTCCCAAGGAGTTGAGCCGCGCGAGATAAAAATCCCGGTCTGAGGTGGCAAGGTGAAGTAACTGAACTTTAGGGTTTAGGGTCTAGGGTTTAGGGTTGCCGGGTTCTCGCAGAATTCAGGGCTGCAGTTGGATAACATAGAGCAAGGTGAAGGGTACTATACGAGCTACAGTCAATATTGCTTTACAATAAGAGTTAATGGGCTCCTAGTATTCGGAAAGATGTTAGGAGATATACTAAACTACCAAAGGGACCCCTGTATCCACCCTTCGTGGTGCGTTGGTAACCCCAAGACTCACAATAGCTCATACCATACCCATAGGCTACTCTTTTATCCCAGATTCTTTTTCACAGTCCATATTCTCAACCCTGTATTCCCTAAGCCCTACTCCCAAAGCCTAAACCCTAAATCCTAAATCCAAAGCCCTGCATCCTAAATCCTAAACCCGAAACCCTAAACCCTAAACCCAGGTCAGAGCCTAAGGAACTCCAGGGGTGTGTGGTACGGAAACATCCATTACCTGCGAGCAGACCTATCGGCCCCGACTTGAAGCCGAGGGGACTTAGGAAAGTTCTACATGGATTACGAGTGCCCTGATTGGGGTCAACATGCTTATGATAACTTACTTACTAATTAAGTGCCCTGGGCCTCTAAATGCCCAAGCATGGCACGTGTCATGGCTACGGCTACGGGATCCTGTGTCAAAGCCGCATGCCTTATCAGAGAGCCGCCGTGCAGCAGAATCAAAGCAGGACACCTAGGCGCTTACGATGGATGCAGGAAATCTTGTATCACTTTCCATGCTAAAAATACGGTAGCTACCCTTAGTGAGATAGGGTGGTGCAAGGTTTCCTCCACCCAGAATTAGGAAACACGACAAGTGCGCAGACCAGAAAAGAATGGGAAGATGCCTTTTACTCTCCAACTGCTGGCACAAGAACAGAAAGACTTCTCTTTTGAAGAAGAGCAACAAACCTATTGCGTGAGGTCAGTCCTACTGTGCCACACCACCCTCACACACGCCTTAAACCCTAAACCCTTTGTGTGAGCCAGGTTGCAAAGCCCCTTTGGGCACCCATGCGCACCAGTCCGAGTTGGGTGCCTTGTTCAAGCTCTACACTCGGGGCAGGGCTCAGGAGTTCCTGTAGATGCCCCACGAATTACCATACCATGGTCCAAAGTTGGTTGTAGGATGATGGTCTACAATACCAAGACCTCAAACAGATTTTGGGGGTCCCTATAATGAGGACAGTATTATTTCGGGGTCTATATGGGGGTCTCTTTGTTTTGGGAAACTGCCACTGATCTAGGCTCCTACAGTAGATGAGGACAGGGCAGATGGGGTTTGGTTCTTGGGTTTAGACCCCAGACCTCCATGTAAGGACATACTATATACTTAGGTCCCATAGAGGCTCCCATGTAACTAGTGAGGGCCCAAAAATACATTATATAGCGCTGTGGAGCCTTCGGAGTATCGTGCCTGCGGTATACGTGAGTATGCGTTTCCCTATGGGAGCCAATGAGTGTCTAGTTCAAGCTAGGAAAGGGCTGTCTGCTCCTGAATAAAACCGACTTAATTAGTAGGTAGGTTGAACTTGCGGATAACTTGTGTTACTATATATGGTTTTTAGGGGGCGGTTGAGCCTCTGGGTGAGTCCCCTGACCGCAAATCCCAAAACCTACACCTATGTTTCCCTATATGTCCCTATATCCCCCTTAGAAGGTCCCCAGAACCTAGTTGCCAAGTCCCCTTGACCTTCCAAGTAGACCCTGCAAACCATAAATCCCTACCTTGAAGCATGGTCTGTGGGTTCAGTTTAGGACTCGCCATTACTACTACTATTGCTGCTGCTGCTACTACTACCTCCACCACCACCACGACGACCCCGACGCCGAGGACTTGGTATTGTCCGTGTCACTATTACGATGCCTATTTCGATTACCATTCGTACTGTTCCTTGAATGCTCTGAAACGCACAGCTACTGAGCACTTGGAAGGTAAGGAGGATTTAGCCAGCATCCTAGCTTACTAATACAGCTGCAAGCCACATGACGACGCGAGCTATTCTCATTCTTAACGTATTTGCTCAGTGAACCTGACCCTCCAAGTACCCGGCAATCCAACCTAGAACCCGAGGTCCCACCAGTGTTGATGCATGTTGTAGACAAAACCTACTCTATTGGAATCACAGTCGATCATGCTGCTTTCAGAATAGAAAATCTTCTTTAGAGCCCTAAACCCTAAGCCCTAAACTGGCCCTAAACTTTCAATCTTGAGGGTCTACCAAAACGAAGAGTAAACGGTCCGTACATCCAGCATACCCGTATACTTATTGTAGGGCTATGCCCTTCGTGTTTAGGGTTTTAGGGTTCAGACGCTTCTGGGGTTCTTACAGGCAGGAGGCTGCGAAGCGCATCTGCTGAAGCTCGAGGAAGGGAAGGCTTTAGCTCACAATTTCATCCGGTAGCGCTGACCCTACGCCCTAAATACTATAAACGCTAAGCCCTGTAACTTCAAGGCCACATGCCGAAACAACAAGCTGTTTTTTCATGTTGAGGGCTTATGGCCATATCTATTTTGAGGTGGCAAGGCACATCTTCTCCAAGATGACTGCATTTCAGCCATGGTGTTGACATTATTCATATACGGCTACTCGTAAAGGGGGGTAATACCAAAATTTGCCCGGGCGAAACAAACAAACAACAACAGATTGAGGATTTCCAATTCGATTTCAATGGCGAACCTATGGTTTTCTTGACATTGTCTTGATTACACCCGCCCCCCCCCCAGTTTCTGGGACCTTTGTTCTGAGAGTGGTCCGCCCGGAACACTGGGGAGAGTTAGGAAGATGATGTCCGCATTGGTGCCTAGATTCAACCTACTCAAGGGGAACAGCAGGATGGATGAACAACCTCGGAAAAAAGACGCGTGCTGCAAAGACAGTGATTCATGGTGCCGTCGCTCCAGCCGCTGAAACCAGGAAAGCCGCGATTCCTGTGTAAAAAGAATCATATAGGGTTTAGCACGTCGAACTGGGGATTTATGTCTTGTCTCGAAAGTACAGGCCTTCGTGGCTCAGACAGTGGGCTAGTTTCGGGGTTTGGAGTGTAATGGGGACACCAAAGACATTCCAGAGACTACGTGGATTTAAACGCAGGGCGATTTGCCATGTTTGAGTTGCCCTCAGGTAACCTCAGGGAACCCTTTTCGAGCCTGGTTCCTGCAAAATATCAGAGGCTATGGAACGGCAGTGCTTGAAGGGCTTTTTTGCAGAATGAATGATGAAGAAACCATTCAGCTGAAGGCCACCAACGTGAAGCCCAAGTGAAACTACAGAGATTCAGCATGATCGAAGGTCACACTATACCCCTGACCCTGAGGCTAAGGTGGGAAATTGTGTGTGTGTGTGTTGTTTTTTTTTTTAATGGGCCTTTAATTCCGCAGTGTCTTCATACTTACCATATACCATATATGTAAACCCCGACAAACCCAACTAAGGGCCCATACTTGGATCCAGGAAACAGGCAGCAGCCTACATTAGGGGCCCGTCGTTACGACTTAGAAATAAGTTTGGCCCACAATGCCTTTATACGAACCCTGACCCAGGCTATATGCAGTTTTGGGTACTTGCCATTGTAAGTTGGAGCTCATGCACTAAATCTGAAAGCCAGTAAACCACGGTTTCCCCAATTCCGTGACCTATGGACAGCTGAAAGCATCTTGCACACAAATCCGCAAAAGGCTTTGCAATTTTGAGGCCTCCCTTTAAAAGAGAGAGTATCTGTTCATATCATATGTTTGGGGATGTCGGAACTTCTGTAAGCGAGGAAGGGCCCGCTCTTAGTTTTTCTTATATCGCATGATCTTACCATAACGTAAGCACTGTAGCACTTAAGCAGCGTTTGTTGTGGTTGAACCCAAGAAGAGATCTTCTTGCTATAGGGCACTATAACCGGATGTAATCTGATTTTGATTGCTATCGAAATCCGAGCGGAAATACGACTTGAGATCCCTTGAAGATGATGCATCACTGGCCGGCCTGAACTGGATTTGCTTTCACGTCCACCCCCCAAGCCCATTCCTCAACAAAGGCCCTTCGGTCCTGCATGGATACATAGTATGACAAGGGTCTGCGAAAAGCCTAAACGGGCCAAAACCCTAGGCCCTGATGATGCAGGAGGCAGCCGCCATACATGAGCCCTACTTGCTAGCCAATTAGACCAACATAGGCTATACCGGTCCACAAAAAGAACTCCTGCATTTCTGAAATCCGCATTTCCGAAATGCCCACTTGAGTCGAAAAAATACACCGTTCATA